TTTGTCTATAATTCTGTATTGTTTGTATTGTTCTTATGCTATTTTGTAAACTGGATGTCTGTTTGTTAATACGTTTTCCTTCTTTTATTTTTAAAATAAAAAAAAAAAAACCCCACTGGACAGAGACATGAATGCCTGTCCCATAGCAACTCTATTTGTCATGACATTGTACCAAGCTATAGTCCAGCATTTTATGACAGTGGCTATAACCCCATGCTCATGAGTGCCTGATTCTGAGAAAAGAAGATTCAGAGTGAACAACCAAATCATGTTTCAGAGTGTACCAGTCAGACAGAGCCACTAAACACTTTTAGTTCACCGGGTGCTGTTATTCTCTGTGATTCTCTTTAGGAAAACGGGCCACATGCTGAATGAATCTCCTACAGGAGTTTGCTACGTATGGTAAGAAAATTTCTTCCACTTTCAGATTACAAAGAGAAACAGAATGTATAAAAAGAAACTTAAATTTAATCAGTAGAAATGATACCTATGTCAAATGGGAATTGTTACTAAATTAGGGATTGTAGGAAAAATAATTAGTGGTCTGAAAAACAGCAATGGAAACTACCCCAAATGAAACAGTGAGAATAGTTTTTAAATGGGATATAGCTCAGCCATGCAGTATTTGCCTAGCATGTGCACAGCCCTGGCTTCAATGTTCAGAACTGCTAAATAAATAAACTGCACAGAAAATCTGTGAGCTGTGAAACAACGTCAAGTAGCCTAAATATATGGATAACTCAAGTTACCAATGCAAAGGAAAAAGAGCACCAAAAAAAAATTTTTTTGAAGAATGGCCACATGTTTTTCTAAATTAAAGAAAACTGTAAATCCACAGATGCAAGAATCTCAGTAAGTTCTAAACTCCAAAGGAAGGGAAGGTAAGAGGGAGGGAATGGGAAAAAAAAGAAATAGGAAAAAGAGAGAGAGACAGAGGAAGGAAAAAAGGAAGGAAAAGAAGGAAGGTGAGGAAGGAACCATAATGTAATTGCTAAAAATGTGTATTTAAAAAGCTGAAAATCAGCCTCAGAAAAAGACATTAAGAATAGAGAAGCAGAGTGTACATAAATTTGCCTATTAAAGAGGTATATTTTAATTTTTCTTTTTATTTAGTTTATAATCACTTCAGTTAAAAGTGATCGCATTTAGACAACTGGAGTTCTAGTGCTACCACTCCATCCGTAATCTGACATAATACAGCTATGACCAAGCATATGTCTGCATTGCTCAGTAACAGCCAATTACATTCTTAGGTCATTGCTATAAACAATTATATACAGAAACAAGACATGGTGTATGTATTTTGTTTTTAGTTCTTATCCCAGGAATTCTTATTCTTAACAAACATTTGTGACTAAATATGGTATTACTGAATTATTTATATATTAAAAACAGCCTTACAACTAGTCTTTTTCCAGAACCAAGTTTCTGCTGCTCAGTCTCCTCCCTTTTATCTGCATCTGTTGCAAAAGCAAGTACTTGGTACCTGAAATAGATGGAAAAAGTATAAGTGACCTTACAATTTTAAAAAGGTTTACTTTCCAAACTGTAAAGGAATATAACCTATGAACATGAATGTTTCTTCAGTTTTTCTTCTTGTGATTTTTACTAGTATATGTCTATAGTGCATATGAATACATTCACTGTAGGGAATTCGCACATACATACAACACATTTCAATTCTTTTTTTTTTCCCCCTTCTATCCACCCCCTTTTATTTTCCCAGCATCAGACTCGTTTATTTATAAGACCTTATAAAGTTAATTATCATATATACAGATTGAAAACCAGAGTAATAGATCAAAGAACATACAAAACTTAGACAACTGCACTAAGTCAAGGCACACTTATAGATACATTGTCCTTGCTAGATTACAATACTTTCTCTCTCTCTTTTTAAAACTGTAAAATTTGAGGTTGAATTCTTATTGGCCTATGACATGAGACCATATAAAGTGTGATGATAAAGAATTATAATCATATATCCCAAAAATTCAGTAATGAGAAAATACCTCTTTATCAACTATCAAAGCACTTTCATTAGAACTATATGTGACAACTAACATGCAGTGTTATGGCTGTGTCTAGGTGTCCCCCAAAGCCTCATGTGATCATAGATGGGGCTTTTTCAGAGGTAGCTGGATCTAGAGTGTGTGATGTTCGAAATGATTCAAGATGCAATGCTAGGATCAAAGGCACTAGGATTAAGGGTGTGGGGGCTACTCACCCTAAGAAGCCATAAGATACAAGGGACAGAAAGAGCTGTGGTCATCCCCTTTTACTTTGCTACCTTCAGCCCACAGTAAACTGCTTCTCCTTGGAGAAGCCATCCTCTCCTGGAGCCAGGCAAGTATGGACTGAAACCGTTACGAAATGTGAGCTAAGTAAACCTTTCCTCCTTTAACTTCAGGTGTCAGGTATTTTGTCTCAGCATAAGAAAAGTAACTAAGACATTCAGGAAAACTCCTAAACCTCAAGTCAACAGAAACAATTGTAAATAACACAAAGCAATCAGATAAAGTAGAAATTATTAATACATAAGCTATGGAACCAATAAGAACTAAACTTAAACTCCAGCTAAACTAGCTACTGAGAGCAAATTTTGACAAATTAACCATTCCGTCTTAGTTTTCCCATCTATAAAATGAAAATAATAATTTCTAAATTAAAGAAATCTTTTTTTTTTTTTTTTTGGTACAAGGAATCAAACTCAGGACCTTGTGCTTGCCAGGCAGGTGTTGTGCCACTGAGCTATATCCCCAGCCAAAATCTAAGAAGATATAAAATTCCTGAATAACCCAGTATCGCACAACAAAATTGAAAATGAAATAAAAAACTTACAAACAAAGGAAAGTCCAGGACCTGATGGATTGACAACTGAATTCTACAAAAAATTTAGAGAATATTTAACATCAATTCTTCTCAAACTGTTTAATGAAATACAAAGGGAAGCAATTCTCCCCAGCTCATTCCTGGAGGCAAGTATTACCCTGATACCAAAACCAGAAAAAGGTCCAACCAAAAAGAGAACTATAGTCCAGTCTCCCTAAGGAACAGAGATGCAAAAATTCTCAATAAAACACTAGCTAACAGAATGCAGCAAATAATGAAGAAGATAGTACACCATGACCAAGTGGGATTCATCCCAGGAATGCAAGGATAGTCAATATACACAAATCAATCAATATACTACACCATAACAACAGAGCCAAAGAATCACATGATCGTATCAATAGATGCAGAAAGAGCTTTTGATAAAGTCCAACATTTATTCATGATGAAAACCTCACAGAAAATAGGAATAGATGGACTTCACTTCAATCTGGTAAAAGCCATCTATGACAAACCAGCAGCCAACATCATACTAAATGGACAAAAACTGAAAGCTTTCACTTTAAAATCAGGAACAAGACAAGGATGTCCACTGTCACCACTCCTATTACACATAGTTCTGGAGACACTAGCCAGAACAATTAGAAAAGAGAGAGAAGAAAAAGGAATAAAGAATAGAAAAGAAGAACTGAAATTATCTTTATTTGCAGATGACATGATACTCTACCTAGAAGACCCCAAAAACTCTAACAAAAGACTCCTAGAATTAATCAACAAATTCAGTAGCATAGCTGGATACAAAGTCAACACTCAAAAATCAATAGTGTTCCTATACACAAATAATAAACACAGTAAGAGAGAAATTAGGGAAACCATACCTTTCACAATAACATCCAAGAAAGTTGAAATACTTAGGAACCAATTTAACAAACGAAGTAACAAATCTATACAGTGAAAATTATAGTACTCTGAAAAAAGACAAAAAGAGGATTTCAAAAAATGCAAAGATACTCCTTGCTCATGGATAGGAAGAATCAACATTTTGAGAATGTCCATACACCCAAAATTCTTGTAAAGATTCAATGCCATCCCAATTAAAATACCGTTAGTATACCTCACAGGTCAAGAGAAAATATTCCAAAAATTCATCTGGAACCAGAAGAGACCCAGAATAGCAAAAGCAACCCTAGGCAGCAAAGGCAAGGCAGGAGGTATCACAATCCCTGACTTGAAAACACATTACAAAGCTACTATGATAAAATTAACGTGGTACTGGCAAAAAAAGCAGACCAGAAGATCAAAGGAATAGTCTAGAAGATGCAGCCACAACCACCAACACACTTAGCTACCTTATCTTTGACAAAGGGGCCAAACATGTTCACTGGAAAAAAGATAGCCTCTTTAATAAATGGTGTCGGAAAAACTGGCTTTCCACATGCTGAAGATTAAAACTAGATCCATGCCTATCACCGTGCACCAAAATAAAGTCAAAACAGCTTAAAGATTTAAATATTAAAACAGAAACACCAGATCTAATGGAAGAGAAAGTAAATGGAAATCTTGAAGTCATAGGGGTGGCAGAGAGTTCATGAACAAAAACCAGACTGCATGGGAAATACTTCAAAGAATCAACAACTGGGATCTCCTCTTACTGAAAAGATTTTGCATATCAAAAGAAATCACCAACAGGGTGAAAAGAAAACCTACCAATTGTGAAAAAATTTTAGTCAAATGTCCTTCAGACAAAGAACTGCTGTCTAGAACATATAAAGTATTAAAAAAAAAAAAAATCAGGCCCCCAAAATTCAGAGACTCAATACAAAAATGGGCATCTGAGATGAATACACACTTCTTACATGAGGAAATACAAATGGCAAATAAATACAAGAAAAAATGTTCAACATCATTAGTCATTCGAAAAATGCAAATTAAAACAGCACTGAGATTCCATCTCACCCCACAAAGAATGGCTGTCATCAAGAAATCAACCAGTAACAAGTGCTGGAGGGGCTGTGGGGAGAAAGAAATCCTTCTGCACTGCTGGTGGGAGTGTAGACTGGTGAAAACATTGTGGAAATCAGTGTGGAGCTTCCTCAAAAAACTAGGATTAGAGGTCCCATTTGACCCAGCTATTCCCCTTCTGGGTATTGTCCCAGCAGAATTAAAAATATCATACTACAGTGATATATGTGCACCCATGTTTACAGCAGCACAATTTGTCATAGCTAAATCTTAGAAACAACCCAAATGCCCATTAACCAAGGAATGGATAAAAAAGATGTGATATTTTTATACAATGGAGTACTACTCAGCTATAAAGAAGGATAAACTTGAGGCTTTTATAGCTAAATGGATACAACTAGAGACCATATTCATGAGTGAAATGAGTCAGACTCACATGTGTAAACATCATATTGTCTCCCTAGGGTAAGAACCTGAAAGAGTAAATAAAATCCAAAAGGTACAATAGAAACTGTGAAACAGAAAAAATCTGCTCAAAAAGAAGAAAGAACTGGGATGAGGAAAAGGAGAAAAGAAAGAAACAAGGGAAAAAATATATAAGTATATATACAGGATAGCTGGGATAATTATATTACTGATTTTTACTCATTTATTGAAAGGAACAGTTAATAAATTTTTTTTCTTCTTTTTAATATTTTGACCAATTTTGCATGCTTGTATCTGGTAGTCTGAACAACTAATTTGAAGACAACAATATGCAATATAACAACCATTGCTGAATTCCTATCATCTTGTTTAGTGAAATTCTGTATTATTTCTAATGGCTTTTTACTATTTTTTTATTCTCATTAAAATAAAAAAGATATGGTCTTTTTATACAAAGGAGTACCACTCATCTATAAAGAAGGATAAACTTAAGACTTTTATAGATAAACGGATGCAACTTGAGGCCACAGTCATAAATGAAATAAAGCAGACTCACATGTGTAAACATCGTATTTCCTCCCTAGTGTAAGAAGCTGAAAGAGTAAGTAAGATCCAAAATGTACAATGGATATTGTGAAATGGGGAGAACTTGGGATGGGAGAAAAGAAAAAAAGGGGGGAAAAGAAAAAAAAAAAAAAAAAATATATATATATATATATATATAAGATAGTTATACTACTAATTTCTATTAGTTCATTGAAAAGAAACGTTTGTGCTTATATTGTCTGATCAATTTTTCATGCCCTTATCTTGTAATTTGAGCAACTACCTTGAAGATAACAAAATGCAATGTTTTAATCGTTGTTACTCTCCTACTATATTGTTTTGAAATTTTGTATCATTGTTTTTATTGTTTTTTCTCTTTAAAGTAAGTTTTTTTAAATAGCCTTTCTATTTCAGTAGGACGCAAAATGAGTATAGATTAAAGTAGACTTTGCAAGGTACAAAAACCAATGATAAGTTCACAAATACCTATAAAGAAATCAGGCCTAAGTTCAATGTGCATGAATTTCATTCATCCAGTGAACACACAGACAGGAAGTAATCCAGGCATCAGCAAGGGAGAAAACTATTACATGTGTACACTCCTCAGGAGCACTGAGGCAGTTGTAGAGATCCATGTACAATAGACTCAGTGTCACTCAGAGTGCCCTGTGCCAGTACAAGGTCTGCACACAGTACGGATGGAATGCGGCCACAGAGACA